TTTCGCGACTTTAGCCTTCAATGGTCGAAATGATTTCGACCATTTCGACCATTTCGGATATCCGAAATGATCCATTTTAACTTCATGTATAGCGACAATCTTCTTTACCGATTTTTTGCTGATTTACTGATCCGATTTAAACAAAATTTAACTTGTTAGAATCGCAGCATTGAGGAGAATCTGAATACAGTATCAGTTTTTGAGTAGTTGGCCTACTGAAAAAGTTTTCTACACTTAAATTTCATTAAGTAAGAATTGTTTATATAGATCGCTAAATTGCGCAAAATTGGTCTTAATAATCGTATTTTAAATTTTTACTGAATATTAGCTAGGTTATGAGGTTTAAAACAAATACAAAACTATATTTTTAGCATTCGTGGTTGGTGAGTTATAAGCTTTTAAAGGCAAGCAACTCTACTTGCGTTTCTTTTGTTGCCCACTGTAAATAATATGTCTAATATATCGTATATGTCAATATATCCAATATGTTATATATATCTAATCTGTCTAATATATCCTATTTGTTAATCATGTCAAATATATCATATATGTCAGACATGTCAGAAATGTTAGAAATGGCATAATGTCAGATATGTTAAATTTGTCAGATTTGTCAATTATCTATATCACATAAATTCTGTCATATTTATCTGTTTATAATAATAATATAAAATAAATAAAATAACAAATTTAAGTTTGTTATAAAAAAAAATATTATTAACAAAAATTAAAATTTTGAATTTAAATTACAATAAAATATTATTATTAATATAATTTTTATTTTTAATTTTTTTAAATATATATTTTAAATTTTATTAAAAAATATTATTTTATGATATTTAGTTAAATAGTTATTTTGTAATAAAAAAGAAGAAAACTATAAAAAAATTTTTTTGTTAATATTAAATTTAAACTTATTTTATGAAAAAATCATATTTAGCTTATAAAGTAAAAATTTTAATTTTTTTTAGTTTTCTTTTTTTCTACTACAAAACTTTCAAATATTTATTTATCTAGAATTGATATATACAGTAGCGGTCATAAGTATCTGACTGCCTCTAACTCCAGCTACAAGTAAGTAAATTCAAAATTTTTTATTATTTAAAAAATACATAACCAACTAACTAAAATTAATACATAGTGTAGTCACCATCTGACTCTATAAGTGTGGCTGTACGCCTTTTCATGCTAGCTACCAAATTCGCAGCAAGTACAGGTGATAATCAGTTCCATTCTTTTGTAAGTTCCCCTTTTAACCCTCTAATTGATTGAATTTTTTTTTGGTATATTAATTTTCATTAACCTTCAAACGTTTTCTATAGAGTTTTGGTCTAGAAACATTGATGGCCAAGAAAGTACCTCAATGCCATTTTCTTCCTTTTATTTTTTCACGATTTTCGATCGATGCTTTGGATCATTATTTTTTTGTAAGATCCAATCTATGTTACCTTCACCAAAAAGTTTAGAGGTGGAAGCCAGAAGACCCTGCTCATAAATAGTACACATAAATTCAGCATTATGATTTCTCTGAAAGCAAAATAGCTTACCAAATCCAGAAGCAGAAAAACATTCCCAAACATGAACTTTTGGTGGATGTTTAATAGAACGAAACACTTTTTTTCTACCAGAAAACTGCCAAACCTTTTTTTGATGTATATAATTGAAATGTATTCTCATCTGTAAAAATAACTCAATTCCAATCAAAATTCTTATGTTTTTTTGCCCATTGCAACCTTTTCTTTCAATGGTCTTCTTTAAGCAAAAGTTTAGAAATTTTATTACTAAACTTTACTCTAGACTTACGAAGACGTCGCCTTATAGTTTCTACACTAATTCTAACACCTCTTTCTTCCATTTTTTCTTGTATTTGAATGGCTGTTATATTACGTTCTTTCTCTGCCATCTTTATAATCTTGTCATCTTGTTTCGTAGATATTATACAAGGCTGCCCCGATCTTTCTGAAGTACTTAGGTCCCGATTTTCATGATATCTTTTAACCTAATAAATAACTGTAGACTTACTACAACGTACCTGCTTAGCAATAAATCCAAAACTAAACTTTGGACCAGCTGGGTGCTTACGTAAAAAGACAATTTCATATCGTTTCTCTAAAGAAAGTTCCATTTTTTAAGCGAAAGTTTGATGATCATCTAAATTTTTTTTTGTATCATTGACACTTATAAATTTATAGATGATCATGTATTGTGTTACATTATATTTCTGGAAAATTTAAGGGGTAGTTATATAGTAATTTTGGATGATCTCGGGCGGTCGGATACTTATGATTGCTACTGTAATGCAAGTATTCTTTTAAGTTTCGATTATAATGCGATAATTGTTTTATAATTCAGTATTCTTTTAAATTTCATTTATAATGCAAGTATTCTTTTAAGTTTCGATTTAATGCAATAATAGTTTTAAATTTCGATTATAATATAATAATTCTTGAAAATTTCAATTACCATGCGGTAATCGTTTTAAGTTTCGATTATAATGCAAGTTTTACTTAAGTTTCGATTATAATACAGGTGTTACTTAAGTTTCGATTATAATGCAGGTGTTACTTAAATTTCGATTATCATGCGGTAATTGTTATAAGTTTCAATCATCATGCGGTATTATTTTAAGTTTCAAATATAATGTAAGTTGTAGATTATAATGCGAATATTAATACAAGTTTTATTTCGCCGCAGCATCTATATTAATTGTTTCATTTATATATATAAATCGTTCATTGACATTGACAAAAAACATCAATTTCAAATTTTCAAGATGACAAGAAATAGGTCTATTTCGAATATTATTGGTAATAAGCTGACAAAACGACCATCTTTACCATCTGAGTCAACTTAAAAAAAAAAGTTAACAAAGTTCCTTGTTATTGTAATAAGTGTAATTGAAAATTGGTTTTAAATCAGACCAAACTTTTTCATGAATCGGCAAGTGGTTCATCAACAATTCATGATAGTTTAAGTGTCTCATCAACGATTCGTGATGACTCTACTATCGAATAATTATATTATAATTTTGACAAATTGATACTTGATACTGGATCACCTGCTGAAATTAAATCACAAGATTCGAGAAGCAAAATGATTGATAATAATTCACGAGCTTTAAGAATCAAAATGATTGATCATTATCTGAAATTATTGAATTTATCTCGAAAGCGTACAAGAAGATATAAAAGTCATCCGCAAGTTACTGATGGTTTGAGTGACTCTGAGGATGAGCAACATACTGAGTCTTCTTTAAAAGAGAATAGTGAACATAACGAAAGATGTCATATCAAATCTCCTATGAATGAAGACGAAAGTATTTCAAATGATTTACTTGTTTCTGAAACTTTTAAAGATTATTCTCTACTGAAATATGAACTATATCAAGATGAAGAAGAGGAAGTAATGATCGATGATCAATTTGCATGGATTTTATTATGGTTAATGAACTTTCAAATTACCAGAGACTGCAACTGAGTTTCTTATAAAATTTATGAAATTAGTTCTAATTGAAATTGGTGGTAATAAGTTTAACAGATTTCCAAGTACTCTTTATTTAGCAAAGAAATCGCTTAGCCTCAAAGACTGATTTCATAATTTCGTATCTTGTACAAATATCATAAATTTTACAACAAAGATGAAGTGATGAACTTTTGATAGAATGATACTTTATCGATTATGAAATACAATCACGTCAAATTTCCAAATTCATCAATTTACAGGTTACGGCTTTGTAATATATTATTGTCTTATAAAACAGATAATTCAAATTTTTTTCAACCAAAATTAATTCATCCATTTGTCAGTATTTGAGAACAACTCAATGTTATATTTTGTCAATAAGGGTTCAAAAATTATCTATGACATTAGGTCAATAGAACAAGTTTCGGTAACATGTTAGTTGACATATATGATAGATAAGTTTGGAAGACATTTAAAGAAAATGGTTCAGAAATCTCAATTTTTTAGACCTAATGTAGCTGATTCATATCTAAACTTAATGTTGAATTTGAATTAGTTTCAACCATTTAATGGAACAATTCATAGTACTGGAGTATTATATGCCACAATTTGTAATCTTCCAAGAGACATTTGATTCAAACGTGAAAATTTACTAATTCTTGGAATTATGTCCAGCCCAAATGAAGTGAGTTTACACAAAATAAATCATTATTTAATACCAATTGTTGACGAATTAGAGTTACTTTGGAATGGTATGACTCTAAATTGAACATATGAATGTCAAGAAGGAAGGAGAATTTGTGCAGCATTAATCCTTGTTTCATGCGATATTCCTACAGCAAGAAAAATTTGCAGTCATATTTCGGCATTAGTATTATATCATAGGTGCGAAAAGAAGGCAAATTATGAAAATCGGTAACATAATTTTGCTGGAATGAATAACATGAACAAATGGTTATTTCCCAGGATTCGTCATAATATCGAGAGGATGCACTTGGCTGGTGAAGGTGCAATTCAGACACTGACAGAAAGCAATTTGTAAAGCATACTGTTATTAAATGGTCTTTGTTTATCATACTTTGATCTAATTCATTTTTTAACGATCGACCCAATGTATTGTCTATTTTTAGGCATAATGAAATAGATAGTTAAACAAATTGGGTCAATGAGAAGGTTTTAACTTCAAATGCTCTTAAAAGTATCTAAGAAAATATGAATCAGATTCAAGTTCCAACCGATTTGGGTAGAATCCCTTGAAAAATCGACTGCAGAGAAGGTTTTTCTAACTTCACAGCAGACCAGTGGTGAACATTTTATACAATTTATGCAACTACATCACTTTGGAATATCTATCAATAATCGACTGAATGATTCTAACACATTTTGTTAGAGTTTGTTCGATTCTGGTAGGTCAAATTCTAGAACTCGATTTGATACAAGAAGCTCACGAAAGGTTGATTAAAATAGTAAAACTTATTGAGGAACATTACGGGTGTGATAAAATAATACTGAATCTCCACCTTTCACTTCATTTACGAGAATGCTCATATATTTCAGTTCATTATATACTTTCTGGTGTTTCTCATTTGAGCGTATGAATGGGATTCTCGGTAATTGTAGTTTCTGTTTTTTGCCAATTTTTATAACGAAATGTGCTAATAAATAATGAAATATATTAATATTATTTAGATTCAGTATTGAGTAGTCATAGACAAATTGAGCCAGAAATAATATGCAGATTAATGAATGATAATCATATTAGAGAAATCAGTAGTTCAGTCGATATTCGAACAAAAGGTTTAGATTTGCTTGATAATCAAACTGTTGTTAGTTCATTATTAGAAAATGACGAATATTCATCTAATGAAATGGAACAATTTTGGTCTAATTTGAAAATATATGGAAATCAATTATTACTGGATGCGAACTATTTCCTAGAGAAATGTTAAGTCTTAAATTCAATATGATATTATCTAAGTTGATGCTTAATTTAATGGTCGAATACTACACAGCAATATATGAAATATATACTATTCGACAATGGTCCTAAAGATTCAATTATACTTAGTCATGTTAAAATAAATAAATTTGGTCAGTGTAGAATTGGTTCAGAGGTGTTTGGCTCAGCCATATCATTTTGACATGTGAAAAGTTTATTTATTTTAGCAAATTTTATAACATTGGATAATCAGATTGACTGTTATGCTAGTCAAGTTCAGTATTTTTTTAAGCATATAATCAATTTTGAGAATAGACTAACAAAACATAATTTAGCATTTATTCAGTGGTATAAGCTGGCGGAAACATATAAAGTTTGATATTATTTTAGTATCGATGATGATGAAAACTCTTGTAATGTTGAATTATGAAAAAATGAATTTTTTCCTAATGTTCATGACAGTATTATTCTAATGCATAATATTCTTTGTCAATTTGTACCAGTAAAATATAAAATTTTTACTTGTTTAAATACCGTTGAATATTTAGCCATAAATCTGATAAATCGTAAATTCCATATTTGTTAACTTTTATTTTGTAATATAAATTTTTCATAATAAACCAAAACCTGATTAATATAATGCTGAATTATATACAATGTAACAAACGACAGTCAATTTATTATAATTTTCATATCGAATTTTAAAGAATAACTGAAATTTTGCCATACTGAATCATCTAAATATTTGCTGAAAGGTCTTAGTATAAAAAAAATGCTAAATTATGTGTTTGTCATAATTTTTTTACCGAATTTTAAACTCAAGCTAAATATTTGCCTAATAGTATAACCAAATCAGCTAAATGTTTGCCAAATGATATTAGTGCCAAAATAATGTTAAATTATATATAATGTAACAAATGACTATCGATTTTTGTAACTTAAGCCAAATTTTGTCAAATCATATGATCGAATCGGCTGAATTTTAACCGAATGGTATTAGTGCTAAAGGAAATAATTTCAACTAGTGTAACTTTTTTGCATTTATAGTATTGTTTTAATCTTTTCTTTATATTATGGTAGTAATTTTATAGTCTAATAGTAACTAGTAGTGCTTTAATTTAATGGTGATGTCATGATCTAATAGTAACTGCTTTTTTCTTATTTCTAATCTATTTACATGATAATTTCTATATAGCTAGTACTGACTTTCCAGTCTTTTTTGAATGCCTGGTTCTATAATGATGATGCTAACCCTTTGTGCTGATTTGGTTACCAGTTTTATGTTGAGAATATACGCCTATTTGGTTGCCTGTTAAAATGCTAAATTGTGGTAAAAAAAATCATGTCAGGTGGTAAATTTGTGATTAATTTTGGCTGACATTATATTATAATTTTAGCTGATCTTTTAGATCACGTGATTTGAGAATCCAGCTTGACGTCATAATGGTGACTTGATAGTATCCTGAAACTACTGATGAGCTGTTATAGAATTGGCAGAAAGCTAGAGTGGTTCTATTAGTTTGCCAGTTTTATGTCACTTCTATGTCAGCTTGGATGCTAAGTTATTATGCCAAAAGTTCTGGCTGAATTTATAGAATAATATTGGTCAACATTATCATTATTTTACTGTGCCTTCAATTCTGAATACTTTCTCGTCACTTCTTGCAACTTTTTTGTTATTTTCAAGCTTTTCAATATCCCAAAAAAATGTCTCAAGAAATCATAAATCCTGAAACAGAATGACAAATTATACTAGATAACTTATATAATATTCCTGGCTAAGTTTAATTCTACTTTCGTTTACTTGTTTATCACCATGAATAAGGCCAAAAGTAGTATGCTTATGAGGTTTTCAAGGTATATTTGCAAGATATTATAAACATTTCTGAAGCTCGATCATGGTTTATTTTAGATCAGATGTAATATATATGCTATTTTTTAAGTAATTTTTCTGAAGGCACTTCTAGGAACAAATATGATATTATTTTTTTGAGATTTTAAGCTTATTGATTATGTTTTCTTTGTTTACCCAAAGTATCTTTAGTAATCTTAGTAAAAATAAAGTTTTAGAAAAAATTCAAAACTTTTCCTATGCTACATATATATGCTATATGGGTAGTATATGGATACTATATGAATGATATTTGTATTATACATATGCTAAAAATAAAAAAGTTTAGAAGTTTTGATTTTCATAGAAATGCTAGAGACACTAGAGACACTTACTTAGAAGACTTTCTGGAGATCTAGAAACATTAAAAAGCTTACTTTTAACGTCACTAGAAGTGTTTTCCGCATTTTTTTTAGAGATAACTTTCTAAATCCAGCTCTTTATTGTATCAGACATTTTTATTTTATCAAAAGACTGTCCCAATACTTCCACTGTCAGCCCATTTTGAAGCATCTTATTTAACTTCTTCCAATTATAATATGCTTTCGAATAGCACTTATTTATATGTCAATTACAAAACACATATTTCAATGCTGTTCATTTTACACATCCATCTTGTTTGTACAGATGTCGCTAGCGTCTTTTCCAGTGAATATTACATCCATCTAGTCATCTGTTTCCCTGCCTATAAACCTTCTCTTCATCAAAGTGATACTGGCAAATGTATTCACCTTTATGAATGTAATCCTCAGTGGATCTGATAACTACCATTTTGATATTATTCTTGATAATCTTTTGATACCTATAATAATAATATTTTTATTTTAAACTTTTTTACTAGGGTATTATACTAAAACAGTATACTAGATAATATATCCAAAAATTTTTACTATGATCCAATCTGACTTTCAGCATTCCTTGACATCCTTGTCTCACTTTTTCATCCAGAGGCTAAAAAAGATAAAGCAGAAGGTCAAGTGATTTATTATTCCAGAAAAAATACTTGACTGGCATTCTAATTCGAGATGATATAATTATAGAAAATGATGAAGGATTAACAGCAATCCTTGAAGACACTCTATCAAATTGTTAAGAAATACCATTTATAGCCATTGATAGTAAAGTGTCAAGTCAAAAGATAAAGGGAAAGTACTATTATTTATTACGTCTTTACAGTTCTCTCATTAATAGCCAAAAAGCAGTAGTAACCCTTTTGGGTATTTGTGTATTCTTTGATATTCTTATATCAGATGAGGAGCCTCCAGATGATTGTGAAGTAAAAGTAAGAGATATTTTATCTGTAATGTGAAGTCTTTTAAAATAAAGCATATTAAAGCTTTTTTTTTCATAGTTATCACACAGAAAAAAGTCATATTTACAAATTTATACGAATAGCACTGAGGAAAGAAAGAAAGCTATTAAAGCTATTCAAGACAGTAATTTTGAAACTGCATCAGATGACATGTGGTCATTTCATCATAAGGTAACTCGAGAGAATGGAATCCAACTTTCTGAATAGTCTATAGTAAGCAAATATATATATAAGAAAGGGATTGATCCAGTCTGCCCACATGCATAACTTCTAAAAAAGATTTCTATCTGCTAGAGGATTTTACATTAATAAGTAACTGATTCCCTATTTCAGCTCTCTTATGAGATTGTACTCTTGTTCTTACGTGAAATATAAAGATGCAATCGTGAGAGTTAGGTGAATTTGCTAAAGTCCTTAATCTGAATCATAATATTTTTATGATTTGTATGTAATGATACCTAGCGAAATTACCTTTCTTAATATGATGAAATTGACGAAACTGAAATGACGAAACTAGTTTTTTATTAATGATGAAATTATTTTACTTAATTGCCGAAATTATATTTAACTTGATCTAAATTCCTTGAATTAAAATACATTAAAAAATATAATAATTTTATATTTATTCATATAAAAATATTAAAGAGACAAAACTTTTGACGAAATTACAATTTTTCAAAAAAGAGTTTAGTTAGGTATCACTATTTGTATGAATTTATATTGGAAGAATGATACAAAGTATTAAAATAAAATCTGTTTCATTGATGTTAAAACTGCATCATATTCATAATGGCTTACAATTATATGCAGAAACTAAAAAATCTGCTAAAAGCCTTTACTCTTTATTGGCAAACGTTTGCGTCTGAAATTCAAGTTGGTTTAATGATTTTGATTATAATTGGTATTTCATTATAGAAAAAGTCTATTATCTCAACCTATTCGAATGGATAGAGCAGATAACTGAAAAGTTTGAAATAAAGGAAGAAATTCTAAAGTGGAAATATCATAAAAAGATACGAGTAAAATCTAAAAATAATTTCAAGAAGAAAGGGAAAAAAGAATACTGATAAAGAGGAGATCATATAAAAATCAGATAAGAAAGTTGAGAAAGAGAAAGAATATATAGGAGGTCTAACTAAGATTAAAATTACTGCAGATGAGAATGATGATTTATTTTTCAATTTTCTTAAATTGTCAGGATGTGTACCAGTTGATGTTTGAGTGTATCTTAAAAAATGTTACTCTTATTTAGAAGTAGAAAAGAAAGATTTGCTTAAATTTTTCTTAAAAAATATGGTCTTAACACTAAATTTGATATAGCATATGATGAAATGTGAAGAATCTATTCAGAAGCAAAAGAGCACTCCTCGTCAACAACTGCAAAAAAATGCATAAATAGCAAATTATTATTACCAGAAGCTTTTGGTAAAGCTAAATCAAATAAATGATTATAGAGAAGTTACTTTTATAACTCATATATCTTTGTTTAATTCATACTATTGTGTAAATGAATGAAGGTACAAAATCTTTTAGATGCTTATGCTTTTAAACACAATATAGTATTTAGCTCAAAAGTATGTAAAAATATAGAAAAAGGAAAATATCCTGACGTATACGTTTTTTTACCTGAAAAGGGAATTGAAACGAAATGATCTATAATGGGATTGAACTTTACCTTATTATATCCCAGTCTTATTATGACTTATAATTTCTCTTCAGATAAAATAATACTAATATATAGAGAGGCTGATATTGCAGAAAAAATGGAAACATTTTACATAAGATTGAGTTTCCATTCAATAATTGTATCATTCAAGCTTGAAGTGTAAGATATGATAATCAATTCAAAAAGAAGGGCTTATATCCTATTGTATTAAAGGATTTATTCAACAAGAGAGTAGAGCTTAAAGCACATCTTATCCCACTAGGAAAGAAAAAGCTACAACTTGAAAAGATGATAAGTTCAGCTAAAAAAAGAGGCAAAAGGATTTCGTAGAGCTTAAATTCAGAATATTCATCTGTATGCTTTGATTACGATTATTTAGATTTAAAATAATAGCTTTGAAGGTATATATGAACACTTTTTATAGAAGGCAAGTAACTTAAAATTTCTAATTTTTCTTTGTAAATTAGCTGAAGGAACTACTTCAACAGAAAAATATAATTAACAAAGAAAGGGTTTGGGATAAATTATGGTGATACTGATTCTTTACATCTTACCTGTACAGATAAGTATTATGAAAAATGTGATAAAGCCCTCTCCATAAAAAATCTTTCTAAAGAAGTGTAATAGACCGAAATGGTCAAAATTACTATAATTGTGATGAAAAGCTTGTATGATCAAGTAAATGCTTATCTTAGGATAAAAAATGGCATATCTTATCTTAAAATGATATATGAAAAGGTATTATTTTCCATCTGCTTTGCTGGCAAGAAATAATATTTCAGTGTACCATATAAAAAGGTGATCAATTTTAGATCAGATGATTTGTTTATAAGAGGAATTGATACTATGAAATAAGTGAATTTTGAGCTCTTCAGGTTTATCGGAGAAAAGATTATGTGAAAGGTAATGGGTATCAATAATACATGTTTAGTTCATAAAATTGTTGATGATGCTCTCTGGGATGCTAAATTTAAGCAGTGGAATTTTAATCAGTTTATTGTAATGTCTAAATGAAAGGTTAAAGGAGGTTTCGCATACAATAAAATCTTTATGAAGTAAATGAGAAAAAGAATAGCAAGCGGAGAAAAAATATAAAGATTTCTGACTCTAAAAATGCTTTAGCTATATCGTAGTAAATGACAGTCCTTATTATAAAAAAATAATTCAAAATCGATAAGAAAAAATAATTATATGAAGTTTTCAGAAATTGTAAAAGAGTTTAATATGAAGATAGATATCAGCCACTATTTAGAAAAAACAGTAGGAACGTGTGCATATTTTATCAATAAGAATGATATGTTCTTACTATTCCTATCAGATAAAATAATGCAGATTAAAGATTCAGATAAAAGGGAAAAGCAGATCAATGAATATTTCTAGAAAAAGGCAAAAAACTGGTTTATAAAATATATCAAGAGCCTTCAAGAAACTTTCTAGGTATTTTGAGAATTTGTCTGAAACTACCTAACTATATATATTATTGAGTACTCTTAGCTGAAATTACCACATTTCTGCTAAAGAACTTAGCCATTAAAGCACTTCACATAATATTACTTATATTTTTTCTCATACAATAATACTAGCTAACCTCAATTCCTATCTTTGAACTTCTGGCCTATGATGATCACTCTAATCTTCTGGCTTCTGATCATATAGCCTGGCCTTAAAAATGCCTAGAAATGATAAAAAATAGTTCTAATTAGGAGAATACTCAGTATTACTTTTTTTCACAAATTCCAGTATTTCCTAACCATAAGCAATATAACTGCAATCAGTAAAAAAACAAGAATGGAATACATTACCATTAGTGAGATTAGAGAACTTATAATAACAGGAATAGTCACTAGTAGGGTTCCGCAATTCGATTTGACATTTGAATATTTGATTTGAAAATCAAATCAAATACAAATTCAAATTTAT